TCAAACAATCTATTAGTTTTAGAGAAAAGTGACATCGTTTTCTTGACCATGGAAATGTGTTTCCACTTTTTTAAGGTCTTGTCTTTAAGATGCTTTCATAATTTCTCAAAGGAGACTCATTCCCACACACATATATTTCTTTTCATGCTGGGATCAAGTAAGCTTGTTAGGCAACAAGTATTCCACCACTAAGCCATATTCCCAGTCCCTTTTACTACATTTCCTTTTTTAAAAAACATTATTTTTAGTTGTAGGTGGACCCAGTAACTATATCTTTTTATGTGGTGCTTAGGATTGAACCCAGTGCCTCACACGTGAGGTAAATGCTCTACCACTGAGCCACCACCCCAGCCTTATTACATTTATTCTTTTTTTTTTAATATTTATTTTTTATTTCTCAGCGGACACAACATCTTTGTTTGTATGTGGTGCTGAGGATTGAACCCGGGCCGCACGCATGCCAGGCGAGCGCGCTACCGCTTGAGCCACATCCCCAGCCCTCTTTGGGGGTTTTAATGTAGAAAATGATGTGTGCAAGTAATGATATCTTTCTTTTCTAACTGTAGTATTTTTTAAATTTTATTGCAAGGATCACTAGTACTGCCTTATGAAAATAATTTTGTCATTTTCAATTTTCAAAGAAGTGTTAGGTTGTGTAACTGGATAGTAGTGAGCTTGCCTAGCATGTATAAAGCCTTGGATTCAATTCTCAGCACCAGGTTAAAAAAAAAGTGGTGGGTGCAGTGGCGCACACCTGTAATCCCAGTGACTCAGGAGGCTGAGACAGGAGGATCAGTTCTAAGCCAGCCTCAGCAAAAGTGAGGTGCTAAGCAACTCAGTGAGACCTTGTCTCTAAATCTACAACTTAAAAAAAAGTGCAAGCCAGGTGGAGTAGTGCACACCTATAATCCTAGTGGCTGGAGAGGCTGAGGCAGGAGGGTCATGAATTCAAAGCCAGCCTCAACAATTTATCTAGACCCTGTCTCCAAATAAAATACAAAAAAGCACCGCGGATGTGGTTAGTACTTAAGTACCCCTGGGTTGAATCCCCAGTATTAAAAAAAAAAAAAAAATGCTTATAACCTTTCCCACTTAGGGTAATGTGTACTGTGTACATGTATTACATATTCTCAGGTTAGTAAAATTGTTATATGTTCTTATTTGTCTTATTATATTGATCTTTTATTGGATGCTTTTTCTGCATTTCTTTTTTCAGTTTAAAAATGTTAACTTTCTTGTCCATAATCCCAGTAACTCAGGAGGCTGAGGCAGGAGGATTCAGACTTTGAGAACAGGCTCAGCAATTCAGTAAGGCCCTAAGAAACCTAATGAGACCTTATGTCAAAATAAAAAGGGCTGGAGATATGGTTCAATGGTAAACCAGCTCTGGGTTCAATCCCCAATACCAAAATAAATAAACATATAAACATATAACAAAAAGGTTGAGGATATAGCTCAGTGGTGGAGGGCTCTTGGGATCAATCCCCAGTATCATCCCTCAAAGATGCAGATAGTTTTCTGATTTGACTATTTCTGTGAGAAAATGTCATTTTTTAAAAAAGTTTTTAAATGAGATAGGCTCTCACTAGTTGCTGAGGTTGGACTTGAACTTGCAATTCTCCTGCTTTAACTTCCCTAGTTAGATTACAAGTGTGCCACACTGTGCCCAGCTTTTTTATTTTTAAATACCTTTATTTATTTATTTTTATGTGGTGCTGAGGATTGAACCCATTGCCTCACATACAATTGGTAGACAATTTCTACCACTGAGCTACAACTCCAAACTTTTTAAATTTTTTAATATGTATTTTTAGTTGTTGATGGGCTTTATTTTATTCATTTATTTATATGCAGTGCTGAGAATAGAACCCAGTGTCTCTCACATGCTGGGCAAACGCTTTAACACTGAACCGCAACACCAGTCCCCCTCCTTTTTTTTAGTACCAGGGATTGAACTCGGGGGCACTTAACCACTGGGGCATATCCCCAGCCCTTTTTTGTATTTTATTTAGAGACAGGGTCTCACTGAGTTGCTTAAGGCCTTGATAAGTTGCTGAGGCTGACTTTGAACCTGTGATCCTCCTGCCTCAGCCCCTTGAGTAGCTGATTGTAGGATTCACTGCACCTGGCTCTATCTGCTTTTTTTCAAATGATCCTAAGGTTTTTCTGCTTTTATCTGCCAGTGTGATTAATGATTTTTTTCTTTTTTTCTCCCAGTGCTGGGGATGGAGCCCAGGGCTGGGGATGGAGCCCAGGGCATCAGGCATGTAAGGCGGGTGCTCCACCAATGAGCTAAACTCTAATTTTGTTGTTATATTTTTGAGATGGTGTCTCACCACGTTGCTCAGGTTGGCTGGCACTGAATTCCTGTGCTCAAGTGATCCTCACACTTCATCTTCCTAAGCAGCTGGGACTATAGTTTCACACCACCACACCAGGTGGATTTTCTGATAAATTTTATGGTTACATTTCTAGGATAAACTCCACTTGGTCATGGTATAGTCTTAAAGGAAACCCAAAGCTTTTAATGGAATCTGTTGCATTTTTTTAAAAATATATTTTTAGTTGTAGATGGACACATTATTTTTTTTTTTATTTTTATGTGGTGCTGAGGATTGAACCTAGGGTCTCGCATGTGCTAGGTGAGTGCTCTACTGCTGAGCCACAACCTCAGCCCATGCTGCATTTTTATACTGCGGGGATTGCTAAACTTATTTATTTATTTATTTATTTATTTTTAAAGAGAGGAGAGAGAGAGAATTTTTTTAATATTTATTTCTTAGTTTTCGGCGGACATAACATCTTTCTTTGTATGTGGTGCTGAGGATCGAACCCGGGCTGCACGCATGCTAGGCGAGCGCGCTACTGCTTGAACCACATCCCTAGACCTAAACTTTAAAATTATCTATCTAGGATTGAAACACTGAGCCACATCTCCAGCTCTTTTTATATTTTGAGATAAGGTCTCACCCAGTTGCTTAGGGCCTCACTAAGTTGCTGGCTTTGAACTTGGTATCCTCCTGCCTCAGCCTTCTGAGTTGCTGGGATTACAGGTGTGTGCCACCATTCCTGGCAAAAGTATTTATATTGAGTTAAATCAATCATGTTTCTCTCATGTGCTGTCTAGGTTTAGTATAAGGATTGTATTGGCCTTTCAGAATGAAGGGAAATAACATTTTTTAAATATTTGTTTTATAAATTGAGATAACCCTTTTTACTTTGGTAGATCTTTGTAAATTTTGACTTGGTTTTCTTTGTAACTTTTAACTATTATTTCAATGTATTTCAGTTATTTAAACTTTCATATTTCTTTGTGAGTCAGCTGTAAATTAATAGTTTTTCTAGGAATTTTTTTGTCAACATTTTCAAAAGTTTATCCTGTGAATGAGTGACGAAAATCTGCCTTATCTAACAAATGTTATCTCCAAGTCTTAGTTGCATTTCCCTCAAATTAATTACAAGATTTAAAATTGTATAATCAGAGTCTATTTCTCTGGTGCTTTTTGTGCAGATGGCCTGAACTGAGTTACACTTTACATCTAAATGAGAACTGTACTTGCCTGATGATTGTGTTCACTAGTCTGCAAACTGTTAATCTGTGTTGTTAGCAAGGATTTTTAACATATGCTCGCTTAGCCTCCAGCAAACATATAGCAGGATGGTGGGGTCACTTCATATTGTCTGACTTTGTACTCTGTCTTTATCACCAATGCTTAACAAAGCCTTGGGCATATACACGGGTTCCAAATAAACGTTGGCTGAATATCCCAATCAGAGTTTAGGAGGATTGAGCCCTGTATAGAATCAGATAAAATTAGGTCTTTCCCAGGAAAAGGGTACCTGAGAGGCAATAAACAACACAACAAAGAGACCTATTGCATTTCTTCTTTCCAGGCGGTAGAAAGAGTCCTGTACCCACACCTGTCTACTTACTGGACAAACCTGCAGGCTGTGCTGGATGATTATTCCGTATCTAATGCTCAGGTCAAAGCAGATGGACACAAAGTTTATGGAGCCATTCTGGTGAGTATCAACCCCTTGTAGCCTCCTTCCCCGGAATGAGCTCAGCACGCTTACTTTGTAGTACTTGATGGGCTTAGGCTCATCCTTGTCCCTTCCTCTTACAGGTGGCTGTAGAGCGCCTGCTGAAGATGAAGGCTCAAGCCGCCCAGCCCAGCGCGGGTGGCCCAGGCGGCAGGGGGTTCCGGCGTTCGGAAGACCTGCCTTGGGACAGCCTTCTCCTTCAGGAGTCTCCTTCCGGGGGCGGTGCAGAGCCAAGCTTTGGGTCTGGTCTTCCCCTGCCACCAGGGGGAGCGGGGCCTGAGGACCCTTTTCCCTCAGTGACCCTGGCGGACATCTACCGTGAGCTCTACGCCTTCTTCGGTGACAGCTTGGCCATCCGCTTTGGCACGGGCCAGCCTGCGCCCACTGCCCCGAGGCCGCCCGGGGAGAAGAAAGAGCCGGCAGCCGCCCCGGACTCAGTGCGGAAAATGCCGCAGCTGACGGCCAGTGCCGTGGTCAGCCCGCAGGGTGACGAGAGCCCCCGGGGCGGCGGCGGTCCCCCGTCGGCCTCGGCGCCCGCGCCCTCTGAGGGCAGGCCGCTGCCGCGCGTGCACCGGGCTCGGGGAGCGCCCCGGCAGCAGGGCCCGGGCGCCGGCACGCGCGACGTCTTCCAGAAGAGCCGTTTTGCCCCGCGCGGCGCCCCCCACTTCCGTTTTATCATCGCCGGGCGGCAGGCCGGGCGGCGCTGCCGCGGGCGCCTCTTCCAGACTGCCTTCCCCGCGCCCTACGGGCCCAGCCCGGCCTCCCGCTATGTGCAGAAGCTGCCCATGATCGGCCGCACCGGCCGCCCGGCCCGCCGCTGGGCGCTGTCGGACTACTCGCTGTACCTGCCACTCTGAGGCTGCCCGTCCCCGCCTCCCAAATAAATGTCGCGCCCGGAAGTGATGGCTCCGCGTCCATGGGTCGCGCCGGATGAGGCGGGGCTGGGCGGCTGGCTCCGGGGCCTGGGCGCCATGGCGCTGCCCTGGCTGCAGCGCGTCGAGCTCGCGCTCTTCGCCGCCGCCTTCCTGTGCGGCGCCGTGGCGGCCGCGACGCTCACCCGGACCCAGGTGCGGCTGGGGGCGGGGCCGGGCGGGTGGCCACGCGGGCTGCGACTCTGGCCCGGCGACGGCTGGCCTGCGGATGAAATGCAGCGACGCTCGCCGTGTCCTGGCTTGGCCCAATCAGGTCCTACCGAAGCCGTTCCTTCGGCAAAGGGACCAGATACCAGGAGCGTCGTGCATCGCCAGATAGAGCCAGTGCTTCCCTCTGCGTAACCTTGCCCTGGTTCTGAAAGAGACGTCAGCCCCGGCCCTGCGTTCATCGGATGAATCAGGAGCCATTTGTGCTGAGCTATAAGAGAAATAAAGCATAGTGTAGTGAAGGTGATCAAGCAGCCACACTTGCAACTGTGTTAAGTGACAACAGCCCTGTAGAAAACTGAGTTGTTTACTACAGTCAGGCAATCTTGTTAAACATGGGACCATTAAGCCACTATAAAGTAGGCGCTAGTATATCTCTTACAGATTAGATAACACTGGAGATACTTTTTGAAGGTCACACAGGTCTCCTTTACTCTGGGATTTCTGCACAAAGGAAGACCAGAGTTTGTGAGACTTTTGAAGTTCTTTGTCTTCTATAACCACTGCCTACTTCCGGATCATTCTGGCCACTGAGGTTTACCCAAAAGGCCCTCTACACCAGTTTCTCATGTCAGAAACAGGAACTAACAATGCACACATAATTTCTAGAGTGGCCCTGGCCTATATTCTTAACACCTGCCAGAAAACTGCATCACGAGGCACTGACTGAAATCTGAGATTCAGCAGCTTCTCTCCACAGGGCTCCTTCAGGGGTAGCTGTCCGTTGTATGGTATGACCACCCGGAATGGCTCCTTCCTGGCCTTATCCCATTCCTCGGCCCCATCCCTGTGCTACTTTGTGGCAGGGGCCTCTGGCTTCCTGGCCCTCTACTGCCTCCTGCTTCTGCTCTTCTGGGTCTACAGCAGCTGCATCGAAGACTCAAAAAGGTGAATGTCCCACCTTAAGGACCAGGGGCTGAGGTGGGATGAAGCCATCAACCGCAAGGTTTGTTCTCTCCCCCCAGAGGTCTTATAGGGCTCCGCGTTGCACTGGCCATCTCAGCTATAGCCATCTTCCTGGTGTTAGTATCTGCCTGTATCCTTCGATTTGGCACCAGATCCTTCTGCAATTCCATCATCTCCCTGAACAGTACAATTAGGTAATGAGGAGGGAGGGAAGCCTGGATGGGGCTACCTTCCTTCTGCAGAGGGGGAGTCCTGTAACCTCCCATTTTCTGTCTGTTGCTCTCCACCTCAAAGGGTACCTGGGTACAGGTATGCTTAGGGTGTATCCCCACTTCTTTCTCAAAACTGTCTCTTTGACCTCACAGCTGCTCTGAAGCTCAGAAAATTCCATGGACACCCCCTGGAACAGCTCTGCAGTTTTACTCCAACCTACACAATGCTGAAGTGAGACCCAGAGACACACTGATTCATACAAGTATCTAGCTATAAGGATGCTCAACAATGAATATGAGCTTGGTCTACCACTGACAAGCTAAGAGGAGCTGAAGGGCGTATCAGCCTGACAGACTGGTGTGTGGGTGGAAGGACTGGATCTGTGATGGTCTGACTCCTCACATTCCTGTTCTGTCTCCACAGACCTCTTCATGGGTGAATCTGGTATTATGGTGTGTGGTCTTGGTGCTCCAGGTCATGCAGTGGAAGTCTGAAGCCACCCCATACCGACCTCTGGAGAGGGGAGACCCTGAGTGGAGCTCTGAGACAGATGTTCTTGTTGGGCCACGCCTGTCCCATTCCTGAAGAGTAACCAAATAGTGCATTCTGCAGCCAACGACTTTGTGCCCAAGTGCCTGTAATCCTCTTGTCCCCACACAGCCCTGTTAGTGCTGAAAGCCCCCATTTTCCCTCCAGGAGGGAAAAGTAACAGGCCCCTCTCCACCTCTCTTCCTATTGCTGTTTTTGTACCAAAATATTAGTATTACTTTCTTCATTTTGGTATTGTGTTCTTGATGTTAAAACAAGTAGGTGATGGGAAGGAGTGAAGGCGAAGCAGGCATGGATCAGGCAGCTTCCCTTTAAACAACTCCTCTTTTAATTGTTACTATTGAATCTTAGGTTCCCCCTTGGTGACCCTGGTTGTCACCCCATCCATAAGTTCAATTTTGTTTTGTTTTCCCTTTTTTTTTGTCTCCTTCTGAGAGGGAGTGAAAGACCCAAGGTGGTTTCTTACAAGCTCCGATAGGTACCCACAGTGTTGTCAAAGAGCTGAACGTTGGGGAAGTGTCCAGCTTTGTCCAAGAGGAAATAGAAGCGATGGCCTTTGATCTTCAGAGGCAGCATAGCAGGGACTTCTCCTCGGTGGGCCATGCAGGATACCTGGTTCAAGGGGACGGTGAAAGGGGCTCCCAAGCCAAAAGGGGCATGAGTGGTCAGGGTCACCTGCTGCCCTCCTGCTCGAAGCATCACTGAACGCACAGATCGTAGAGAGAAGAGAAGACCAGCACCCAGTACCAGGGTCCCTACAGAAGAGCACAGCAGTGGGGTGAGGTGTGTTCACTGAAAGGACACACACCAACCCTTTCCCTTTGAGTAAAAGATATGAGCGTGACTAACATTTTTGAGTGGGAACCTCTTATATCTAACAAACTTCCAGGCGATGTTTATCCCCATTTTAAAACTCAGGAAAAGGGCTTAAAACTTAAATTGCTCAAGGACAGAGCGCTGAGAGGATGTGGAGCCCAGGGACTGCAGCGCCCTCTTCTGCTCATCTCTCCTTGTCTGAGCCTAGAGCCCACTGCCCCGCCCCAGGTAGAGAAGCCGGCCCACGCCTTACCGATGGCACCGCAGCTGACCACCAGCCCGTAGCGCCAGAGCACAGCGCGCAGGTCCAAGCGGCCGCGGCCTGGGGCCTCTGCATCCAGGGGTCGCGCCTGGACCGGGGGTGCAGACCAAGCTGTCAAGGCCAGGGAGGCCCAGAAGATGCCCTGGCCGGCGCAGAAGAGTCCAAGGATAGTGAAGAACCGGCCCCGCTCATGCTCGAAAAGTAGCACATCCTGCGCCGGGGTCGCGTGGTGCAGGGCCTGGCGCGTGGGCAGGAGCCGCAGCGCCACAAACAGCCCATGAGAACACCTCCAAGCTGCCGCCATGGCGGGCAGGCCACTTCTGCTTCAGAGGCGGGACTTCCTGCCGAGGCCCCGCCCGCCACGAGAAGCAATCCAGAACGCAGAGGCAAAATACAATATCACTCTTTATCTTAAAAAGTAAGGGGAATCCTGGGGAATCCTGGGGCTAAGTACACAAAGCACCTAAGTCCTTCGGGTAGTTTAGTGTCAGTTCTACAAAGTGAGCTTTGGCTTCCTGGCACCAGTGAGGCTCAATCTTCTGGAAGTCTTCAGGAAGTCTTCCAGAAGGCAGGTGAGGAGCGGGATCCACAGACCTCCCTCCTCAGTCACAGTCACAGGGTGGCCTCCGGCCGGACAGAAGGCAAGGGATGACAACCATACAATAATATCCAAGGGCTATTTACACACGCACTTCTGGAGCACAACTATGGATCACTTCATGAATGCAACTTCTGGGATCTCACCCTTGGCCTGGAAAAAAATAAAAGGTCAGTACAGCCAGGTGTCCCTTTCCTGTCCCCAATGCCTTACTCATTTGACCCTCACTTAACCTTCTCCAAGGCTCAAAGAGCCCTGTCTTTTTGCCACAGTATTCCCAAATCTTACCTTGAGATGAGTGAAGGCTTGGGCAGATCTGGTATAGTCCCAGTTGTTGTCCTGAAGGCACCTGGCAGCGAAGAACAGGAAGTTCCATGAGAACCAAAATGTACTCACTCTGAACACTAAGGGCCATTTCAGAAGCCATCCTCCAGAGACACTCACCACTAATAATTATTTGCTGTACTTACACTTAAAAATGTGATTTTCAGCCCTTTTGGCCTTCAACTTGTGATCCCCCTGCCTCAAGTAGCTGTGATTATAAGCATGCACCACCCCACCTCACTTTATCCCCAGTATAGGGAATTAAACTTAGGGACTTTCTACCACTGAGCTGCATCCTAGTACTTTTTATCTTGACAAGTTGCCCAGTCTGGCCTCAAACTGGGGATCCTCCTGCTTTAGTCTCCCAAGTAGCTCGATTTCCATGTATGGACCACTGTGCCCAGTTTTTTGGCCCTAGGAATTGAACCCAGGGCACTTAAGTACTGAGCTACATCCCTAGTCCTTTTTATGTGTGTGTGTGGTGCTGGGGATTAAACCCAGGGCCTTGTGCATGCAAGGCAAGTACACTACCAACTGAGCTATATCCCCAGCCCATACTTTTTATTTTTGAGAGTGTCCCACTAAATTGCTGAGGTTAGCCTTGAACTTGCAATACTTCTGCCTCAGCCTCCCAAGCCACTGGGATTCCAGGCATGCACCACCTCACTTGGTTTGTATTTTAAGGAACTAAACGGTTTTGGCTTTTAAAATTTCAGGAGCACTCATCATTCTCTACCAGTCCCACCTCAGTTTACCCCTGTCCCTGTAGGTACAGCACTCACTTCTGGGACCACTCGAGGTTCATGCCAGACTGGGTAGAGAACGCCTGTAACATTTCCTGCTGCTCCGGGGAGAGGGTGGGCACAGGGCTGGAGGAAGGTGTGGGTGCAGGCATGGCGAAGGCTCTTTGGATCTCTTCAGGGCTGGCATTCCTCACAAATAGCTCATCATTAACGATACATAACCTTGGAGACAAAGAGCACCTTAAACAACTGGACAAATAACCTCACTGCTCCCCAACATCACTGCTATTCTCTGACATTTGACACTCAAATTATTTCAATACCTATATGGTCCCCTCCCAGTCTTAGCTGTTGCTTTTTACCATTTGTTCCTTCTTCTAATGGACTCCATGTTTAGGATTATCTCCCAAATACTAGAATTATACATTCTCCTCTAATCCATGGAGAGTTGTTACTCTTTTGTTTATTTTTATAACAAACTTAGGCAGTAAATATTGTTATAAAAATTTCCAGATGAGGAAAGTTGGCTGTAGCTAAACGTGATGGAGCCACTATGAAAACCCAGATGGTCTAACGCTAGAGCCAAGTACTTAACCACTACAGCAGCCTCCTGATTCCTGCTGCCTTTGTGAAATTTTGAAGACACCCTGAGGACTGACTGGCTTCCAGTTTCCACACTGCTGACCAGGTAGTGGGTCTGGTACACCCAGTGTAGTAAGCAGAACACTTACCCTGAATTACTAGCAGGAACAGCGATGAATGTCCTCGTGAAGGCTCTCAAAGAATCTCGAGATTTTCCATCCACTACAGTGAGAACAGCAGCAATGACCACTTAGAATCATTTATGTTTTACACTTATAAACAGGTTCTCAAAATGTGGTCTTTGATACAGAAAACACTAAGTGGGCCAAATTGGGATGATTGTGTTTGGTCGGTGAGAGGTCAGAGAGGACAATAACAATTACTAACCCTCTCAGAGAGCACACATGCCAGGCCTTAGGTTAAGCACTTTCCAAGTAATTTCACACCCTATGAGTGGGTTATTATTAAACCCCATCTTACAAATTAAGCATTTGAAGCTCAGAGTTAATGCAGTTTTCCCACAGAACCATAGAACCAAGACTGGAAGGAAACTAAGACCTGCCTGACTTCACAGTCTGGATCTGCCTAATTCCTAGACTTTTCCCACATTGCAGATAGGACAGGTAAAGAAGGCAGGCTAAGCAAAAATGGCTTGAGCGGAATGGTGAAGAAGGCCAGGAAAGAAAAGAAGGTAGTTGGGAAGCTAAGAATACCAAGAAAGATTCTTGCTGGGGGAGGGACCCCACCACAAACTCAGAACTCAAAATATTCTCACCTTCCTTGAAGACTCCATTGACAGAAAAACACAGCAATGTACTCTGGAAGAGAAGATGTACCAGGTGTGATACAGATTTCTAGCCAGAGCTTGAGCACCCTACCCCACACTCTTGTAAATGCTGCCCCTGCTATGCCCTCCACCCAATGCTAGGCTTCTATAAGGGCAGAAATACATGCTTACTGTCTGGGCACTTATGTCTACCACAAAGGAATTGATGTCATGCTGAGTTTTGGGCAACTCATTGAGGAAGGCGACAACGTTGAGACGTGTGTGTTTCAGCAACCGGAACCGCGAGGCTATGGGCAGAAGGAGGAGAAAGCAAAGTTGGGACAGCCACGTACTCCTGAACTCTCAGATTCCTTCCCATTTTCTGCTCCCATCCTATCTTGCCCATATCGCACACTTACGTGGGTCTTTAAGCCTTTTCACATTTCTGCTGTCCTTGTAGTATTCAGCCAAGTTGCTTCTGTGGGAAAAGGAAGAAAAGGAGGTGGTGGTCAGAGCAGTGTGGTCTATGTATCTTCTGGGGAAATCCTATGGTCCTGGGCAGGTACTGGGATATGAGACTCACCGGGCAGGGTTATGGGGGATGAATGGAATGCTTAGTGAGCAGCAGGCCCCATCATGGTAGGCATCCAAAAGCCCCTGCCGGTCTCCAGAGTCATAAATTGCATAGTATCTATGAGGGGGAAAAAAAAAAAAAAGGAAATGTCTGAACTCCTGTGGAAAGAAGACACAGTAGCTCCCAAAAGTGAGCTGTGCTTGGGCCTCCCACTTTCCCCAGCCTCAGGGGCCCTAGGATACTTACTGCTGCAGAAAGTGCAGAACCAGACTCTTTAGGTTCTCCGTTCCAAAATAGCTTCCCTGGAACGAAAAAGACATTAGGAACATGGAAGCAGTTCTCTCCCCACACATGTTCTAACTCCACCTCCACTCCTCACCTTGCAGGGTGGCAACATTGTGGGGGCTTCAACATCAAAGGCAATTGGTGGGGGCAACTCATGGCCATCCTGTGGAAAGAAATGAAAACTGAGTATAAACTAAAGAAAAATGGCTAGATGTGTAAGAAGATGGAAGGGCTAAGAGTGAAGGGTCAGCAGTCAAGTGTTAAAGAAGCATGAAAAGTATCCAGGAATCCTGAGTATGAAAATTCAGCCTACAGGCATTTCTCTGGGAAGGATTATCATCTTTATCAAATTCTCAAAGGGATCCATGCATGACTCCAGATTAATGGTCATGTAGGAACAATCTTAGGAGAAGAAGATGCCATGCTTATTAGAAGAGAATGAAAAGTTTAGACTTACCAGGCGTAGTAACTTGGGAAATCGTTCGCGAATGGCGCTGTCAAGAACGGGACAGAAGTGAGTGATGCTTCAGAGCCACCAATGCCTCCTGGGCTGCTCTAGGAGCAAACAACATCAACACCCAAGGGACAGCCCGTCCCATTGCTCATCGCCCGGCTCCTCCCCAGCCTGTACTTAGAGAAAAGTAGCCCCATTCCCCACCTCACCTGGGGCACCCAGACTGGACTACCTTGAAGGCTGTCTTTTTTCTCTCTGCCTGACCCTGAGTGCCACAGGAGCAGCACTCCCAGCCCAGGCTTTAAGCCCAGGACCTCCTTCCCCCTTCTTGCCCCCCTTACCTTCCACCTACTCACCTGTGCAGCCCCGGGAGGAGGGAATGGGGTGGGAGCCCATGGGCTCCGCTGCCTCACCAGGTATCCATCGGTTCTGCCAGGTCTGGCCTTGGCCAAGACCAGAACACACCACAGGGATGGCACAGGATGTTGGGGCAAGGAGATGAGCAAGGTGGGGCTCAGGAACAAAGGAGGCAAAGGAAGAGAGGAAAGAAGAAAGAAATAAAGGTAGGGTGGAGCAGGGACAGGGGAAAGATAGGAGAGAAAAGAGAAGAAAAGGAAAGAGAAAGCAAAGAAAAAGGGAAAGAACCACAGGCAAAGATGCATAAGGAAGAGAAGGGAGAAAACAAGAAAAACATCCTAACACAGCCCTTTCCTTCAGCTGCCCTTTCCCTGTGGTCCAAGGTAAAATCAGAAAGCAAATCCTGCTGTGGCGGGTGGGCAGCTGCTGTTGGCCAGGCCTCTGACTGCTACCTGGGTCCCAATCTGAGCTGGGCGTGGGAAGCAAAGCAGCCATGGGGGCAGGAGACCTCCCTCAGAAGGGGTGAAGGTTCAGACCCCTGCAAAGTTGGGGGGGTGAGGTTCTGTGCCCCACCTCTGTTGGCCCCCAAGTTCTTTCCTGATGGCCCCTCTGCGACTGTGCCTGTCTTAGGTTGTTCCTTCCCTGAGGAATCTTACCCGTCTCTGGCTAACCAGCCATCCTCCGGGGCCAAACAGGGTGATGTGAGGTGTGCGAGTGAGGGAGGGGCATTGCCCCCGAGAGTCAGTTCTCTGTCTCCTTGGTAGCCAGTGCCCCCGTGGCCTCCACGCCCAGCATCTGCCTTAGGATCCCCTCGCCTGCTGGCGGGGCCCCGGCTCTGGTCACAGGTTTTGGGAAACCCAGGTTTCTTCTCCAGGGAGGGCCCAGCTCACAGCACTGAGTGAGAGAGACATATGGCATGGTACCAGCCTCCTGGAGGCTTCAACCTTAGCATGGGCAGGAAAGTCCAGGCTACAGCCTTGGACAAGTAGCTTGTGAGAATAGTGTCCCTCTTGGTGCAATGCAAGAGGGGTCATCAAAGGACAAAGAGGAGAAAGGCCCATCTCAGTAGGAAATCCCAGTTAGGGAGGGCTTTCTCAGCCTAAGGATTCCAGGCTCTTAGCCCAAGGTAACCCCATGGATGGGGAATATACAAGACACCCCCCAGTCAAAGTAGAAATGAGGAGGTGTCCTTCCTGGAACAATAGGGTAGGGAGAGTCTAGAAAAGGCTGTGTTCAGGAAGGAAGGAGAAAGGCCATAGAACCAGCAAACAGTAATCAGGTGAGAAAAAAGAAGAGATTTTGGAACAAAGCTGAGAGACACAGACAGACGAAAAGGAGGAGCGTGTGGTCCTCCCAAAGGACAAGTGGTTCCAGCTCAGGGCTGCACATCTCCTGCAGACGGGCACTGATCAGGGTGCATTAACTCAGCCTCCCAGGGGTTGAAGGTCCCCAGGAGGGAAACAAAGGCTATGACTGACCTGATGTAGGTAGACTGGTCTTGGAAACTGTCACACAGGGGATTTCCATCAAGCCACAGCTCTTCCAGCTTCAGCCCTTTTATCTTATCCAACTCCCGCTCAGACTTCAACTGCAAAGGAGGAAGAAAACAAGGAGGAAATGGATGTGATGAGGAAAACAGGTAGATCCTTAGACCTCTAATCCCTATCCTCCTAAGGTCTCCCTTTTACCTCCTGCCAGTCAAACATGCCCTCCCCATCCTCTGCTACCCCATCAAAACCACATCAAACCATCAGCCCTCACTTCATTTCCAGAGAGATTTAAGATCTTCAGGTTGGATGCCTTCTGCACAATGCTGGACATGACATCCAGCCTGTAAAGCCTGTTGTTGCTCAAGTTCAAAGATAAAAGCTGTTGAGTAGAAAAGAGTTTAGAAGAAAGGTAAGCAGTGAGTAGATCACCCTATCCCATCCTACCTCTCCCTCCCTGCTTCCTCATGTTTAATACTGGCCCCAAAGCCTCACCTCAGGGATGTTTTCTTCAATGATTCGTAGGGTAGCCGCCATACAGCTTCTACGATGCAGGACAACATCAATGTTCTGGGCCACCAAATCTTCAGAAAGCAGATAGAAAGGGAAGTCTGAGAGGACTTGTCACATCAGCATTAGCACTAAATCATCCTCAAACTTTCCCTGGGTGACAAATCCCATTCTGTCTCCATCTAGCTGAGAATCTATTGTCAGTCATACCTGGGTCTGAACGAAGGCCCTTGAGATCAAGTGCTTGTTGGGAACCATCATAACGTTTGCTCATAATAAGCTACACAGGAAGACAAAGGATTTAGTGGTCAATGGGGCTAAATGGGCATGTTGGGATGAGTGAGTGGGTAGGTGTGAGAAGTAAGACTTGGTTGAAACACATGTTACTTGAGCTGGCCTCACCTTTAGCTGCTCTACTTGTTCTGGCTTCAGTTCATTTTGTACAACATAGGGTGGAGAAGAGGGGTTGATGATGATAGGTATCTGGAGAGAAGACACAGAGAGTAAACTCCAGGGAAAGCCCCAGGACCAAGAATTGTCCCTGTCCTGTGTAGCAGTTCCCACCATCAGCCAAGCTAGGGCCTTTACACCTACCCTTCGGTTATCCTGACCCACAATCTTATAGTTGATAGCCTTTAATGCAGAGGCAGTGCTGGAATCCTCCACAAAAAACTGGGCCCGGGTGCTCTCATAATGAAACTTAAAAAGAGGAAACAAGAGCATTAGACTTGAATCAAGAGCACCTTACCCAGCTGGGCCCATACTGTCTCTGGTGCCCGGTCAGCCACTCAGTCCTTATCTTACCTCAATGGGGGTGAAAGGGACACTGCATTTGCTCTGAATCATGTTCAGAAGCCAAGCTTTGTCATACTTTTTGCCACAAGGAATCTAGAAGGGAGAGAAAGCAAACAGAAGAGAACACCATGTAACTAAGGTTGAACAGCTGTCTCAACCCAGCATTCCTTTTGTACCTTCTGCAGAGCTTTAAATTGTTTTCTAGGGCTGGGGGCATAGCTCAGTGGTAAAGCAGGTGCCTAAAAAGATCAAGGTCCCAAGCACATCCCCAGAACCACAAAAAGGAAAAAAGGCAGGGCATGGTCATGCATGCCTGTAACACCAGCAACTTGGGAAGCTGAGGGAGGGGGTTCTCAAGTTCCAGGCCAGCATGGGCAATTTAGTAAGACCGTGTCTTAAAATAAAAAATAAAAAAGGCTGGGGATGTAGCTCAGTGGTAGAACACCACTGGGTTCAATTCCCAGTATCATAAATGAATGAAAACAAAACACACCAAAAACCAAAAAGGTTTTATAAAGAAAAGACTAGTTGGTCAGTTGTGGTGGTGCATGTCTTCATGTCAAACTACTTGGGAGGCTGAGACAGGAGGATCACAAGTTTGTGGCCAGTCTAGGCAATTTAACAAGACCCTATCTCAAAAATAAAATAAGCCGGTGCAGTGGTGCACGCCTATAATTCCAGTTACTTGGGAGGCTGAGATGGGAGAATTGTGAGTTCAAAGCCAGCCTCAGCAACTGTGAGGTACTAAGCAACTCAGTGAGACCCTCTCTCTAAACAAAATACAAAATAGGTTTTGGGGGTGTGGTTCAATGGTCAAGTGCCCTTGAGTTCAATTCCTGGGACCAAAAATAAAATAAAATAAAATAGCTGTGGATGCAGTTCAGTAGTACAACACTTGCCTCGCATGCAGGAGGCCCTAGGTTCAATCCTCAGCAAAAGAAAAAAAAAAAAAATCACAAGCTTTTTTTTTTTTTTTTTAAGGTATAGATGGACACAACACAATGCCTTTATTTTTATATGATGCTGAGGATACAACCCATGCCTCGCCAGTGCTAGGCGAGCACCTTACCACTGAGCCACAATTTCAGCCCCATGTTTTTTTATTTTTTAAATATTTATTTTTTAGTTATAGGTGGACACAATATCTTTATTATATTTTTATGTGGTGCTGAGGATTGAACCCAGTGCCTCACGCATGGTAGGCAAGCACTCTACCTCTGAACCACAACCCCAGTCCAATCACAAGTTTTCCACCTAAAACACATTGAATTTCTGTTCACTTACACTTATTATTCCTCAAAAGTATCATTTTTTAAATTCTAAAAGCTCCAAGGTTTAATTTATATCTTGCCTACACCTTAGAGAACTCCAAGCCCTACACTCAGCTTGAACCAAATGAGGCTATCCAGAGGAGTTATTCTACCTCCCAACCAGTTACATTTTTATTCTACTCTGTTGTCTATCCCCACTGAACTTTCCCTGAACCTGTCGCTTGGTGTTCTAACATAGTGATTCTAGCTGGGGATGTAGCTCAGTGTGGTACAGTACTTGCCTAGCATGTGCAATTCTCTGAATTCAATCCCCAGTACTAAAAAAAAAAGGGAAAAAAAATATTGGTTGGGGGTCAGTGTCTGGGGAATGATCTCAGGGGCATTTTATCACTGAGCTAATCTCCAGTCATTTTTATTTTGAGACAGGCTCTCACTAAGTTGCTCAGAGTCTTGTCAAACTACTGAGATCTTTCTTAAGCTTGCGATCCTCCCCCCTCTGGCAGGAGTTGCTGAGATTACAGGTGGCAGCACCATACCCAGCCAAAAAAAAAAAAAAAAAAACCTGTTTCTAAAGGAGAAAGAAAGGATACCTAATTGTGAAGTATGAAGTAAACAGCCAAAAAAAAAAAAAGGAATTTTTATGGGGAAAAAAAAGTAATAATTTTCATTCTGAGTCCAGCCTCCTACACTAAGGTACTCACTGTAATCTTGAACCAGTTCTTAGAGGACCCATCCTGGCTGGTGCCAGCCCCTCCTCTCTCTGGAGGAGCTCTGTCTCTCCGCACAGTAATGTGAATGCGACCTCCTCGATCATGCCAAGTATCACCCCGACGGTTAGTTCGGGTGGCATACGGGTTGCTGTGGGGAAATAGAGAATTAAAAGTTCATAACTATTAGAAAAAACCATCCTGCACTGTTAGCAGGACTATAATTAAGACTGTTCAACCATTAAGATGGTCTTGACATGTTTATCATTCTAGGTGGGAAAAGCAATGACAAGGACAATAATAAAGCTATATAATCTAATAGGTTATTAAATTCAAAGTAGACCAATTAGTCACTTACTATCGTACGCGGGGACCATCCTGAGCATCACTCATTGCCACATCTCCATCATCTTCCTCGAGCCGAGAAGACTGAACACCAGAACCACCTCGTCCTGACCGACGGTTCCCCTCACCATACTTCCACCGGAAAGGACCCCGGCCTTTCTTTCTTCTTTGAGGGAAACTAACACGGTCATCATGCTCTGGAAGTGAAATAGGTACACAAACTAGTAAATATATGGAGTGCGGAAGTATCTCAGTAGTAAAGTGCTTCCCTAGCATGTGTGAGGCCCTAGGTTCAACCCCTTGCACTGAAAAAAAATTCCTTAAAAATTTAGTAAATACATCACTGGAGTAGCAATTGCAGATTCTAGCACTCTGCACTACTGGGAAAGATACACATTAACTACAGAAGCCATTTCCACACAAGTGCCTCTGCCTGTCCAAAGGAAAGAATCCACTCTGGAATGGCAGTATCATATCAGGGAAACAGGATAGAGCTTTTGAAAAATGAAGCAAAAACCAGAACTATAAAAAGAGGCAGAATGTAGAAGTGTAAGCAGCCCAAACATGTAACTAGCCACAAATCAGACCCCTGAAAGCCACTTGGGACCTACCACTCAGTATTTCTCTTGCCTAAACAATACAAACAAATATCACCAATTTAAGGGCCTCCTAAAAAATCTTGTTCTCGGGGCTGGGGTTTTGGCTCAGCGGTAGAGTGCTCGCTTAGCAAGTGCGGGGCCCTGGGTTCGATTCTCAGCACCACATAAAAATAAATAAACAAAATAAAGGTGTTGTGTCCAACTACAACTAAAGAATAAATATTTTTTAAAAATCTTGTTCTCAAACTACAACTAAAAAAATAAATATTTTTTAAAAATCTTGTTCTCAAACGGCCACTGTGAAGTTTGTAAAATGATTGGCTTCTTTGACTAGGAATGCCCTTTAACTCAGGAGACAACTTTTTGGCTCAGGTCTGGTGGCAGCATCACTTTAGAGTGCTGAACCAAGGCTCCTGAAATGTATGGCCTGAGAGGGATGCAATAGTGCACTCCTGTCATCCCAGCGGCTTGAGAGGCTGAGGCAGGAGGATCACGAGTTCAAAGATCTCGAGACCTTATCTCTATTTTTTTTTTAATATTTATTTTTTAGTTTTCGGCGGACACAACATCTTTGTATGTGGTGCCTAGGATCGAACCCGGGCCGCACGCATGCCAGGCGAGCGCGCTACCGCTTGAGCCACATCCCCAGCCCCTTGAGATCTTATCTCTAAATATGAAAAAAGGGCTGGGGATGTGGCTCAGTTGTTGAACACCCCTGGATTCAATCCTGGGTACCAAAATAATAATGATAATATTAATAATATAATAATAACAATAAAATAAAAAGAGCCAGGGATGCAATTCAGAGGTAAAGATTGGCTGGGTTCAATCCCCAGTAAAAACAAAAACAAACAAACAAAGAATATGGCCTGACTCCTAGAGCACTTCCCTAGCACTGGTGAGGCCCTAGGTTTGATCTCTAGCCACACACACACACACACACACACACACGCAAACACACAGAATGCAAAAAGAAAAAAAAAAATCCAAGGAAGTCTACCTAATACCTAGAACTATGTAAACAATGAAATTCAACAAATAACCCTAGGAGAAGAGAAATGAATAAAAGCTGCAGCTGATTTTCATTAAGAACTTTCTCCAAGCCCTGGCATGGTGGCACTGCCTGTAAAATCCCAGCGGCTCAGGAGGCTGAGACAGGAGGATTTCTAGTTCAAAGCCAGCCTCAGCTACTTATCCAGGCCCTAAATAACTCAGTGAGACTCTGTCTCTACTTAAAATATAAAAAAAGGCGCTGGGGATGCGGCTAAGGGAAGTTCCCCTGGGTTCAATCCCCAGTACCAAAAAAAAAAAATTTCTCCAGCCAGGTACCAATGACACACACACCTGTAATCCCAGCAATTTAGGAGGCTGACACAGAGGATTTCTAGTTCAAAGCCAGCCTCATTAATTTAGCAAGACCCTTAGCAGCTTATTGAGAACTTGTCTCAAAATAAAAAAATAAAAAGGGCTGGGGATGTCGCTCAGCCGTTAAGGGTTCAACAATACCCAGTACAAAAACAAAACAAAAAGTTTCTTCAGCCAGTCACAGTGGAACAGACCTGTAATCCCAGGGACCCGAAAGGCTGAGGCAGGAGGGTCACAAATTTAAGACCAGCCTCATTTTCTTAGCAAGGCCCTCAGCAACCTAGGGAGACCCTGACTCAAAATTAAAAATAAAAACAGCTGGGATGTAGCTCAGTGGTAGAGCACTCCTGGGCTAAATCCCTGAGTGCCAAAAACAAAATAAAACAAATTAAAACTTTCTCCAGTGCCAGCCACTAAGCTCCAGGCACTTGATAGCAATTGTCTTATTTAAATAAACACACAAAAACTTGGGAGATAGGTACTCTTTCTAGCCATATCAAGGGAGTGGAAAATAAGGTCTGAAAATTTAATTCGCTGAAACTTGGTGTACCCAACGCAGGATTCAAACCTGGGTTGTCATGCTCTCCTGATCACCACAATGGACTAACCACCAATAAAGTGTTCCGACTAGAACATCCAGTTGGTGGGCAGGTCTCAAAGGCTGAAGGCGGGGGCAAGACCACTGGACGCAGTCAAAAATAGGGCACCAGCACAGCCCACGAGCAGGGCAGACTCACATTAAAGTAAGAGTGAGGCCGCCCAACTGAACTGACAGGCATCAACCACCCTCCAAGTTCAAAGGAATCTTGTCACCCCACCCTGAGCCATCCGCTCCGAGCCACAGTCCTCCAACGCCAGGATTCCCGAGTCAACAACCAGGCGCCCACCTCGAGTCCTGTCGGTGCCCCTGGGCTGTCTCGCCCTCGTTTCGGCAGGGCCCGCGCCGCAGCCGCTGCCCGTGGACGCTGGGCCCCTCGCGGCCTCCCGACCCGGGGCTGCGGCCTAGGCCGGCGCCGCCCACCCAGATCCAGATCGCCCGCTCCGGGGCTGAGGGCCAGCACTTACCGTTGTACGACTTTCCCTCGTCCGCCATTGCACTGCGAAGAGCAGGGGGGGGCGGTCTCAGGCTAGGGAGCCGACTGCCTCTAACGTCCGAACGCCCTGCCGCTCCGGACACTTTGCCTCTTCTACGCCGGGCGCCACCGCATTTATATAGCGAAGCACGTAGTGCGCCGCCCGACTTCCCCCGGCTGTGGGCGGGGCCACGCGGAGGAAGCGGACCATATGCGCGTGCGCAAACGCAGGGTCGTGAGGGGCGGGGCCTGTCATCCAAGCCCCGCCCAAATCCACTCTACTCCTATTCCTGCCATCCAAGCCCCGCCCAAATCCGCTCTACTCCTGCTATTCCTGCCATCCAAGCCCCGCCCAAATCCACTCTACTCCCGCTATTCCTGCCATCCAAGACCCGCCCAAATCCACTCTACTCCTGCAGATTCACTCCGCTCCTGGCTCCTCAGTCGAAGCTGCCCCGCAACCGGAGGCTTTGCTTTGGAACGGAACTGGCCGCTGCAGCCCGGAACTGAGAGGAACTGGGAAGGAGGCCGCACTGAGGGTTTCCGAGGAATGGAGACCGAGCTTCGGGGCGGGAGTGATGCCTCACTGATCTCTACTGGGATTCAGTCTTGCCAGCTGTGGATGCAAGCCTCGCTTTCCTCGCCCACCAATTTTGGCGAGCTTTCGTCCTCACAAACCGCCCCACCCACCACTAGCATCCGGCTACACCCTCATCACGCGTCAACAGAGCAGACGGAAAGGTGGGCCACTTGCTGGAAAGAGAAATTTTAAATGCCAAGACAGATGGGCTCGACCCCCAAAAGCCCAGTACCTGCCCGAGTGTGGTGATTGTTCTCTATACCTTGAGCCTCCCTTGGAATGTGTGAAATGGGGCCCTTGGAGTGACCGGTGGTGGATTGTGGGTGAACAGGAAAGACAAAGCAGTGCTGTAACCTCCTCGGAAGGAGGATATTGCAGGCAGGTCTCTCCATTCTTCGTGACTGTCTTGGATTTGATGAGGAGGTTGGAGAGAACCTCAGCTGAAATTGAGGAGAAATTCTTCACTTCCCTTTTGCTTCTGGCAGTAGGCATAACTCCCTCTTATTCAGTTCAAGGAAGATTTGGGGGTCAACTGGTTGGAGGATGCAGATAAAACAGGTTCAAACAGTGCTTAAGTAGGCCACCAATCAGGGACCTACTATGAGATCCAGCTTTCCCTTTCAAAAGGAAGTTTCCATGCTAATGAGGTGTTGCTGTGCTTGGTTAGTCCCTGCCTGGAAACAGATGTGTGTACAAAGCCCCAAAGCTGCCCAGAGTTGGCGGTGGGGCCCCTTCAGAGCAAGCGCCCAAGCCCTTCAGGCTCACTCTACTTGCTGAAGCCCTTCGACGCTCCCACCCAGAAATGACAACAAGGCTAGTGAGGCTGACAGTCTTGCTGTAATTGAGAGGAAACGGGCTGTAGCGCATTTGGCAGATCGAGTCACCAGCAGCCAAAGTCAGGGGTTGTGCAGGCAGCTGAAGGGCTCAGGGCCCCTTGCCTCACATAATGAAGAGAGGAAGGAGGCCAAGTTCTAACCCAGATGGTAAGTTGGTCCCTGGGACAGTTTTGCTTCCTCTCCTCACTCTCAGGAAGGAAGGGAGGGGCATCATCTTCCCTTGCTGCCAATAGTTCCTTTCGGAGAGACTGGGGAGGGTTTATAAAAATCTCCTGGTGGAAAAAACCTCCTCCTTCACCAGCCCCCAGATGGTCTCTACTCCCTTCCAGCCACTTCACAGCAGAATCCAAATCCAGAACCACATGTGTTCCATGGGCCTGAGGGTAGTGAGGGGGAGTACGGGGTGGCCAGAGGCAAGGGGTGGGGGATCAGGGGCAGTGGCCATTCTTAGCAGTTCCAGGGAAACACAGGGCCTTTCTCCCAAGCACCCTGCATAGGCTCAGTGGCAGCACTGGCCACCTGCCCTTCTGGGAGGGTACCAAACCCCCATGGAGTGCCTCAGAGTGAAGAGGGTTCAGGCCAGGAAGACCACAAAGATGATGAAGAAGACAATGAGGATGAGGAAGATTTTGACCATAAGCCACCTGTTGGAGGTGACCGACTGGAAGTACTTGAGGATCTCTGAATGGGCAGCCTCAACATCCAGCTGGGCTCCTAGCACGTTCTCGTCGATCCTGGGAACAGGGCCGGGAGGGAAGGAAACAAAAGGACACCGGATTAAAGAGATGCTGTTGAAGTCTTATTTATTGACATGGAAAAGATGGTCACAATATGTAGAAATAAAAAATGTGTATGTTTGTTTATAGAAAAGGCTCTTGTGGGGCTGGGGCTGTGGCTCAGTGGTAGAGTGTCTGCCTGGCATGCATAAAGCCCTGGGTTCTATCCCAAGCACCACAAATATATAAATAAAGATATACAACAGTGTCTCCTGCTTTGTGTAGGTACCTGTGAATAAATAAGCCAACAAAAATTTTAAAATAAAAAGTTGGTAAGGACTTTAACAAGTAGTAATATTAAAAAAAAAGAAAAAGAGAAAAGGCTCTTGTAGGGCAGTATTTCTTGGTTCTAGTTTGAAGACCAGTTCTCCCACTTATTCTATCTCTAAATCATTTAACCTTATTTTTCCTTATTTGCAAAATGAGAAACACAAATCCTTTCGCTCCTTAGACTGTCTGCAATGAGTTGGTATGAAGTCCCCAACCCACATAAGCTCCCAAATTATTAGATAAAATTTTTGCTAAAATTTTGCTGTATTTATTCATTTTTAATCTAATAAACATGTATCTGGTTTTTTTTTTTTTTTTTTTTTTTTTTTTTTCGTAGTATTGGATATTGAACCCAGGGGTGCTCTACCATTGAGCTACAACCCCAGCCCTTTTTATTTTGAGAACAAGGTCTTGCTACGTTGCTCGGGCTAGCCTCAAACTTGTGATCCTCCTGCTTCAGCCTCTCAAGCTGATAGGATTATAGGCGCGCACCACGATCCCCAGGGCATGTACAGTATTTGCAATAAGGGGAAAAAGTTCACAGACCATTATACTCAGGACATCCTCATTCCGAGTCAGAGAGGAGGAAAAACTTAAATGGTATAGACAGGAAGTCAGAAGATAAGAAAAGCTGTAGACAGGGGAAATTCTCTCCCAAGAACAGAGAAGTCCTCGGAGGAACAATTTCTTGAGAAATTATTGAGCAAAGCAAAAACACTTGGCAGCCGACCTGCATATGCAACTCTAAAACCAAAATATAATTAGGTACCAAACAATAATGTTTCAATTTACAGTGGTAGTATTTATCATAGTGGTCCTATAAGATTATATTGTCTAGTGACACCATAGCTATTTGATTTTGCCTAAGGACAAATTTCAAATAAAATATCCCCTATCATTCAATGGTGCATGAAAGAAAAAAACTCTGGCCTTTGCAAAGGAAGTCCCTGGGAACAAAGATTTTTGTGAGCTGTAAGTATGGATTGGGTGGGGTCTGGCAATCCAGTTGGAAAGTAAGAGGAATAGATGGCCAATGGCTCCAAGTCCAAGGTTTTGGGAAGACAGTCGTAAAAACTGTGATTCCATTTTTTTATGTTGAAGAGGCTAACTAAGGTTTACTAGCTTCAGGACATAATTACATTTCTCAGTGTAGATATATTTGTTATACCAAATGAAGCTCTTCTTGGCAATTATGAATGGCTGTGCTTAACAAAAAAGGATAAACTTAATAAATGCAATCTGAGCTAGGTGTAGCGACACACATCTATAATCCCAGTGGCTTGGAAAGCTGAGACAGGACGATTGCAAATTCAAAGCCAGCTTCAGCAAAAAAGTGAGGTGTGTTAAGTGAGACCCTATCTCTAAATAAAATGCAAAGCCGGGCTGAGGATGTGGCTAAGTGGTCAAGTGCCCCTGAGTTCAATCTCTGGTACCCTGCTCCCCCTAAAAAAAGAATAAGGGAATCATGTTAAGAGGACACAGAAGCTGACCTGAAGTGGGGCTCCGTAGGGCCAGATTTAGGAAACTTGATCATCATAAAAAAATAATGCGAAACTAGGAGCAGTGGTACAGGATTGTAATCCCAGGTACTCGGGAGGCTGAAGCAGGACAATCACAAGTTTGAGGTCAGCCTCAGAAGCTTAGCAAGGACCCTTTCTCAAAAACAAAAAGCCGGGGATATAGCTAACTGGTAGAGTTCTTCTGAATTAAATTCCCAGTACCAGAAAGAAAAAAAAAAATTATGCTAATGGATTATAATATATTGAATAAAAACAAAAACAAAAAACCCCTAACAATTCCATAGTGGTAACTTAAAATAAGAGAAAGCTCCTTTACAGAAGTCAAATAATAAGTATAGAAGAAATGATAGAAAATCACCATTTTACACAATCTAAAAAATGACAAGCAAGAATCACTGTGTGGTAGAAGCTAAACATTCACACCAATTCAAAGCATCACTCCACAGATACTTAAGTCTGATGGTCACCACTTTAAACATGTGACCAAACTGCATCACCAATAAAGGAATAACCCTCATCAAGTGAGTATCCACTAATGCAATCATCACATCAAAATTGGTCTTAATCTGATTATCTGGAAACACTGAACCAAAACCTTTTGTGTTGCCACAAAAAAAAAATACATATTAAAAATACATATAAAAATGTATATGTATATGTACATATAAAAATACAAAATAGACATAAGAATCAAAAGCAGGTGTGAGTCTTGTCTGGGTTTTGATCTGAAGGAAAATAAACTAAAAACTTAAAAAAAAAAAAAAAATCCAGTTGGGGAAATCCAAATATGGACCAGGTATGAAGTGTTGGGAAACTACTGTTACTTTTCTTTGTTATGTTAATGGCATTGTAACTGTTCAGAACATCTTTACCTTTAGCAAGGGGCATGTTGAAGAATCTGGGGATGAACTTTCATAATGTTTGCCCTACTCTCAAAGGATTCACTAGGGAGGGGAAGCAAATGAGAAAAATTTTTTACAACAACTGTACCTGAGGGAATAAAGGTCTTCATTAAACTATCCTCCCAACTTTTCTGTATTTGATATCTTTATTTACAAAAAAGAAAATGATCCAGTAACATTAGATCAGGTAATTATGTTGAAAAAGCCACCTATTTTTTAGTTTCTCAAAAATTAAAAAATTCTCAGGTCTTACATACAGAGATTATAAATTGAGGCTTGGGAATCTACTCATTGAATTTCATATTAAATTAGTGATTTCTCAGGGGCTGGGGATATAGCTCAGTTGGCAAAGTGCTTGCCTCACATGCACAAGGCCCTGGGTTCAATCCCTAGCACTACCAAAAAAAAAAAAAAAAAACAAAAAACCCACAAACTAGTGGTTTCTAGTGGCTGGGGCTGTGGCTGTGGCTCAGAGGTAGCACACTTGCCTGGCATGTGTGAGGCACTGGGTTCGATTCTCAGCACCACATATTAATAAATAAGTAAAATAAAGATCTATCAACAATTTTTTAAAAATTAGGTTTCTCAAGAAAGTGCTTAAGCCCAACACAGTAGTGCCCGTCTGTAATTCCAGCTACTTCGGGAGGCTAAGGCAGGAGGATAAAAAGTTCAAGGTTAACCTAGGTAATGTAATGAGACCCTGTCTCAAAATAAAAAGTATAAAAGGTTTGGGGGGGGCTGGAGATGTGGCTCAAGCGGTAGCGCGCTCGCCTGGCATGCGTGCGGGCCGGGTTCCATCCTCAGCACCACATACAAACAAAGATGTTGTGTCTGCCGAATACTAAAAAATAAATATTAAAAAAAATTCTCTCTCTCTCTCTCTTTAAAAAAAAAAAAAGATGAATATTTAAAAAAAAAAAAGGTTTGGGGGTGTAGCTCAGTGGTAGAGCACCCCTGGATTCAATTTCCAGTACCTTAAACAAAACAAATGATGTCCTTGAGGAGATTAGAGGAAAAGGGATCCAGTTTATAAGTCTAGGATTTAGCTGTAAGAGGAGCTGGTAACAGATGAGAAGGCAGGGTACTGAGTGGGGTGGAAGTTTCCTTGAAACTAGTTTAGTCTTTCCTGGTCCCTTGGATTTTTTTGGAGTGGGGGGTGGGGGATGGGAGAGTGGGGCTGGTACCAGGGATTGAACCCAGGGGCACTTAAGCGCTGAGCCACATCCCCAGACCTTTTTTGAATTTTATTTAGAGAAATCTGTTGTGTGTGTGGGGGGGATATCTTTCTGAGTTGTTTAGAGCCTCTCTTAAGTTGCTGAGGCTGGCTTTGAACTGTCACTCCTCCTGCCTCAGTCTCCCACATTGCTGGGATCACAGGCGTGTACTACCCATGCCCAGCTTGAATTTGATTTTTTA